TGGATGAAGTGGCTGTGGCACTCCCAGAAATGGCCATGACCAGTTCCGGGAGCTCCACGGCCGCTTTCAGTGAGTGTGATTGGCCGTGGGGGACCCCTCCCCCTCCCAATCAGTGAGATTGGCCCTGAGGGCCAGTTGCTGACTGGTCACTGCAGGAGGGCACGTGCCTTCCCCCCTCGACTCAGAGGGCACCAGTCTCCCATGATTCATACAATGGTCAATCATTACCCGTAGGCCCCTTTTGGCCGTGGTGCAAGCCAAGCTGTCACTGGTGAGCCTGTATATATGTCGATGGTTGTTTGCCCCCAGAGGGACCACCTTATACGTGAAAGTGTTAAACTTCATCTGGTTCCAGTCTGCCTAACTCTTGAGCCTGTCCACATCCACCTGTATCTGCTACCTATGTTCTGATGTGACCACACTGCCCCATAACTTGGTGTCATCTGCGAACTTGGTAGTGAGCTTTTCACTCTCCCATCCAAATAATTGATAAAGATGTTGAAAAGCACTGGTCCAAGCACAGACCCCTGAAGGACACCCATAGTTCTTAGGAGGTGTAAAATCAAACCAAACAAGGAGCTGTTCTCTATGGTGGTGGGGATCAGACAGCCTAGCAGACCTTGCTCCATCTCTAATTTCTTTGATTCTCAGACGACGCCAGAAAGAAAAAAAAAATGTAAAAAGTAATATTGAAATGGGCAAACTATGTCCCTTCACTCCCCACAGTACTGCAAACAGACAAGCACGTGGTTAGGGAAAAAGTTAAAATATTTCAAAAGAAAATTGGAATTGAAATCGCAGAGGATAATAACAGAACCAAAGACCAAATGAATATTTCATAAATGTATTTACAAGGGATGCTAAGCCACTAAACACTAAAAATGACACAGGCTGTGTATGTGTTATCCAGTACACTCAGTGAGGAAAGTCATTTAATAAGCCAAGCTTATGTTAAAATTATAATCAATAAATGCTCAGTACAAAAAGGGATTTATCCCCACGTGTTAAAAGAACAGAACTGTAATTTGCATGCAAATGACAACCTTTGAGGGGTCTTTTTCAAGATTGAAAGGGTTACACAGAAAATGTAGAAGCAAGCATGTCTAAGACACCATTCAGAGCGAGGGAGTGAACAAGAATGCTCAGGAAATTATAAGGCTATAAGCTTGACACTTATAACATGCAAATAAAGAGAAGATATTCTGAAGGGCAAATGAGAAGCCAGTATGTGTTCAATAATATTAGAACAGCAGATAACAGCCTGAATTTTAATGCCAACGATCTCTCATGACTATAACTTTCTTATACTTTATAATTAATTGTTAGGCTCGGGTTATAATTCTGCTTTCTGATCTACACACACAGGCTCCTGTGCCTATAGAAAAACGCTTTGACTTCACTGGTGCTCTGATTTGGCATAAATTTGCCAACGTGAATCAGATTGTAGGACTGGACCTTCATTGTTTTGATTTATTGATCCTTCCCAGTACCTAAAAAGAGGGAGAGAGGTGTCTGTGTGAACACACAAAAGAGGAGGCTGGAGGCAGCCAGAAAGTGCTTAGAAGGGGCCTCACATCTAAATAATTGGCAGAAAGCTAAAATGGCCAGATGTGGTGGTCAAATAATTCCGCTTATAGAACTTTTAGAACACTTTTGGTTATTATAAAAGAGTGCCAGCTAGAAAATGCTTATGGATTTAACATGGGAATGCATTTTTAGCCTTGACTATGAAGCTGCTACTAATGTTTCTGTGGTTAGGTCATTCTGAACACTTGAAACAACTTATCTTTCAACTTGACTTTCTGAAAGGTAATTTCCCTAGGCCTGCAGTAAGGTTTGAAATTCAACCATTAATCCTTAATACCATCAAGATTATAGATATCTATGCACCTTATTTGTTGTAAATGACTTCTTTTATCGATCTTCTCTCAGCAGCTATTCTATTCAGCTACAGATGACTGGGGAAGAACACTACTTTGTTGACTGACCTTTTTATTTAAAGCCTAATAGAACAGGAGCGCTGTATCACTGTATTTCATTCATTGCTATTGAAACACAGGATTCTCTTTCCAAGCTTTATCTTAGATAAATTCTGCAATATACTGATACTCAGTAACTGGTAAAACTGAAGAGAAGATGGTGGGTGCAGTGGTCTGATTATACCATAAAACATTTCTAAATTCAGTGCCATGGTTGCACAAGAAGTGAAATACTTCTTTTTTGCTTGTATCATAACATTCTTACAGTACTAATCAGCAGAACTGTTTCATGATGTATAAACCGATTAATCTGTTACATTTACAGCTGGTTACAGCATGAGGTATTCCTCTCTGTTGAAGTATTTTCAATACATGAAGCAGATAAAATCACTCAGATTTAGACTGAGCTAATTGTCATTGCAGCAGCACTGGGGTTGTTCTTTGGTTGTTTCAGCTGGCATTGCTTGACGAAATGCTATGATCTATATGCATGTTCCTCTTCTCAGGTGAAACCTAGCAAAGCTGGTTTGGAGCCATTATTAGAGTTTTTAATTATCGAAATTAATTGCCAGGTCTCTAAAGCTGGTATATTCCACACTTTATATTTTTGAGTTTCAGGGAAGACTGAGAAGCCCATGACATGGCATCTCTAACTACACTGATATTTCAAAAGGTCTCTCTGAAGATTCAGTTTGGCTTTAGTCTTGGGTGAGACTGCACTGATCATGTTAATCTCTCTCTGGAGGGGGAGTTCAATCAGGAAACCAGAATCAGGTAACATTTTAGGTCTGTTAGCTGACTTTAATGCCTTTGACCATGACGTGTTGTTGGCCTTCCCCCTCCATCCACTCAGGAACCTGCGGCGGGATTTTCATGGAGAGTGCTCTGCTTTCTCTTTTTCCTCTAATTGAGAATAGAGAAAGTATTGAGAAGATGGCTGTGCTTGTATGAGGAGAAAAAGGACAGGCAGTCCAAGTGCTAAGCAAAATATTTAGAAAGCTTGTAGGTTTAAATTCTGAAAGGCTTGAACAAAGCAGCTTTGAACAGAGGAGCCAAATGCATCCTTGATACAATTCCAGTGGTTTCAAAAGTTGTGCAGTGCCTCAGTTTGGCCCATAGTATGCATGACTGCCTGGTGATAGGAAAAGGGCCAGAGTAATACCAGTGTAATAACATAGGGTAGAGTGGTAACCAGTGTTTAGTTCCAGTTCTTGACATTACCATTAGCAATTTGGCAGTGCCAGCAGCTATGGAGGTGGACATTTGTGTGGGCACTTGGGCAAGCTTGTCATGTTCATGTGTGTATTTTTTTTTGTATAGAATCCTGGATATTCGTGAATGTATTCCTGTATTCACAGTATCGAAATCCAGCCTGCTTTTACTGGGTTTCACTTCTGTGGGAAAAAAAGATTTTTATACCTAACATCTGAGAGAGAGAGAGAGAGAGAGAGAGAGAGATGATTTTCTGGTTCCACTGCCTTATCCCTGATGCACTACTGAACACCGTAGAGCAACAGTGTGATCAGGTACAGACATTACCCTGATCACTTATACCAGTAAAACTGTATCACTTGTATGGGTAAGGTATACCCATAACAGAACAGAAGTTTGGCGCACAAAGATTGGTTTAAAACTGGCAGAACTGGGTTTAAGATTTCCCCCACCACCACCCCAGCCCTGCACCCACCAAAGGGTGAATGTGTGTTCTGTTTACTACCGATCTAAACTACGTCACGTACAGAAAACTGCATAATTTAGATTGATTTTGCCTTCTTTTTTTGAATGTCTGTACCTAGCCTCTAAGACCCAACCATCTACTCTCCCACAATAGTCTGCTTTTTTTTTTTAAATAGCAAAATTCCATATTCTTAATGGTCATCATTTAGATTTGCTCTGAGACCTGGAAGCAAAGCGCCAGCAATTTTTGGACAAAAAGCTGATTAAATTGTCCATCTCACTGAAAAACGCTGGGATAAAATAGTAAAAGCAGAGTGAATGTCAAGTATACTGATTTGGAACTGTTTTCAAAGGGTCTGATTAAATAAAGGGAAAGAAATTGCCTCAGCTGTTCAACTTGTGTGTCTGTTGTAAAACAGCAGAAACTGCTAAAAAAATATTGAGTCTTGTTAGTCTCTCACAGTGAGGAACTGGCTTTATTTATATATCTAATGAGCTAAACCAGAAATGTGTCATCAAATAATAACAATTTTGAAAAAAAAATCAAAAAAAAAAAAGAACCAATATACATTTGGAACAAAGCAATAGTTATAAAACTGCTGGGATTTGACTGGAACAGAAAGAATACTTAATTAAGCAGTGCAAGAGAAGGAGTGACCTTTAAAGGGGACGATGTGCTGATATTTTACTTAGACCCTCAAATTTATACTGTCCTTCTACATCAGTGTTAGCAACATGCATGAATTAGAAAGGAACACTAGCTACAATAACAGTGTTCTTCCCTTCCAAGTGCTGCAATCCCATCGCATCTGGAAACTCTCCCCATCTCACAAGCATTCTCAATGTGCAATGCTTGGAGTCACGAGGTTATTAAAACAGAACTTTTAAAATCTAGTTTTAAAATGCATGTTCTGTTTTCACATCATTCCATGTGGACAGGGAGAACAGAATAGTTGGTTTTCTCCTGTGTCTAGCTCCTTCTTTTTTCACTTTATTTTGGTGGCACAGTAGAGGGCCAAAGAGGCATGTACACTGTCTTTTTTTATATGTAATTGTGGCTATATGGTCGGTTCTCTTCTTTTTAAACAAACAAGCCAAACACGGTGATGTCATCCTTTTAAGTAACTGAGGGCCCTCCTTCACCTCTTCTACTTGTAGCAAAGAAGTCTCCTTGAAATCAATAAGGTACTGAACTGCACAAATAAGGGAGGCAAAACCCGGTGCTAAGTATTTAATAATTACCTTGTTCACGGACAATAGAAAATATTTGCAGTACATTTATTGCCTATATCTGTATCCCAGCATGGTTGGCTATAATACTGCTATAATTAAAGAAGTACTTACGAGTCTGGCATAACAGTCCTGTCCAGCCTTCAGTGCACTCACAGATGTTTGGACCTATACATTCTCCACCATGCAGACACTTCTCCAGACATGCAGCTACACAGAACAACCAAGAAGCAGACAAATGAGAAGGCCTATCTGATCCCTTATTCCAAGTCTGGAGTATGACTTGCTGGAATTTGCTTCCTGTGTTCATTTTCAGGACTCAAAAGAAGCTAATGTGCATTCTTCACAAGGTAATTAGCATTGTGGATTTTGGTGATGTTAAATTCTTTCTAAGTCAGACTGGCTCTCTCAGTCTGCCTGGCTGTCTGCTGGAGGCACCACTAGCCCTTGTGTCCCACTCGCTCATAAATTATTTTCTATTAAATATATTGCATACTCATATTTGCCTACAAATGAATAGGATATGGAGTTCAGCTGTATCACTGTTTAAAGTTTGCCACTGACATTTTAATTTATATATAGAAAGACTTCTAAGAGTTGGCATGAAAAGTGTAGGGGGGTCTGTCTGAAACTTCATGCAGAATCTCAGAAGGAATGATCAGTCCTGTACTTTAAGACCAGTGGTGAAGTTTACATCATGCTGATTCTCAGGCCACCCTCACCACCAGGACTCAAGGGGTGAAAAGCCAATATAGTAATGTTTTGCATGCAGTGTCATCTTGATAGGAAATTTATTCAGCTTATCTGCCAGCATCATCATAATGAATAACCATGTAATGAAATATATTCTCTGAAACATTTTAAAATCAGAATACATTTTTAAAGTTTTTTTATCCATGTAAACTGCAGTTACATGTAATAGAACAGAGTGCAAGAACACATCAGTAACCAGAATTATTCACTGAAATGTATCTGATGACCTTGAGAGTATAAAGCTTTACTACTGGCTTTAAATAGTAAAGTATTTTGAAATATATGGCATTTCCCAGTAAAATATAACAGAATATGTATAGCTGTTAAAACATAAAGTCTGTACTTCAGGTTTAATACCATAAAAAGAATTTCCATAAAAATATGCATAACAAACAGCTGCATGGGATAGGGCTGGAATTCCCCCCCACCCCCACCCTTTTTCTTGCAAGCATTGAATGTTTATAATATTTTGCATTACCTGTACATAAAACTGTTTTCTCCTCACACTGCTGATGCAGCAAAATAAAGTCTAGCCACTATATAGTTTTCTAATGTTAAAAAAGGATTGCAAATTATGCTGACTACCCTAACTAACAAACAATATTGTGTTTGATGGGAGGCAGAGATACTTACGTTTATGACATCTCTTGCCTCTCCAACCAGATGGACAGTCACAGACATCTGGACTTACACATTTCCCTCCATTCATGCACATGGGATCGCAGACACCTGCAGGTACATTTCAAATGAAGAACTGGGTGTGAGGAAATAATGTGCAGACAGACTTGACTTCAGGACTTATTTACATCAGTTTATAAGGTTAAGTTGCTTGTAATTAAAAACAAAAAAGTAATTTGGATGTAAAAGTGTGAAACTCAGGGGCTTGATAGCTTCTATAAATCCTTGTAGAATCTGCTGAGCTCTGTTATGTAGAAAACCTTTCAAGGAGCCTTCAATAAGAGTTGCCTCACCAGAGAAATGAGAGAGGCATTAATTACAGTGATTCTCGAAAAAGCAAACAAGAAATCTTCTGTGGCAGCTGTAGACAGACCAATACTACTTATTCCTGTTGGCTGCCAAATTCTTGTTTAAGCTTTCACCTCCTGATTGGAAAACATGTTCTCAGACATATATCTGGATCAGAGAGGACTTGCACAGAACAGATTAGCTTCTCACAATTTCAGGCAAATTTTTGCATTTTATCAATCAAGGCTAAAGACAAGATAAGTCTATAGTCCCATTTGTTTTGATATATGGTAGTGTTGTACAACAGTGTTAAAATATTTAGTTTTTCACTAGATTTATTCATGCGATAAAGACATGAGATGCATCTTTATCTGGGCTGCAGTCAGCATAAACTGGATAACTTTGTCACTCTTTTTAATTAGGAGATTTTTCAGTTCCTCCTATGCCCTGCACTTATTGCCTTTGTTCTGGAACTTCCAGGAGCCACATACAAACAACTTGCCTGTTCAAGCCTGGACAGCACCAAGGTATATGAATAATATTGGACTTAAGTCCTAAAGGCAGGATTCCAAAAAGAACTTGAGCACCTGGATACCTAGAACTGCTCCAGTCTTAGCAGGGCTGAGCATCTCAGCCCTTAGCTCATGCCTAAGCTGAGCTGGGTTCCAGAAAGTAGGTGTTCCTTTCCCTAAATGTCTGATGGCCCCCAAACCCGAGAGGCATTCTCAGAGTGCGCCAACCACACTCTGATGGGATGCATGCTGTGAATGGTGTCCTCACAAAATGCATGTTTAACTGCACATTTTCTTTTAGTTAAAAGATGGGTGGCAGGTCATTCTTGTTACGTAATAGCTTAATATTTAAAGCATTTATCCAGGAGGTAGAAGACTCAGGTTCAGTTTCCTCCACAGCCTAAGTGTTTCAAAACAACTTTTCCTAGGACGAACTATACCCCAGGGTTAGGGACAGACATTCAAAATGCCTCAGCCTGAATTGTGTCAATCTTTGCAGGTTAGTCTAACCTGTAGAGATTAAACCAATTTGCAAGTGGCTAGACATTCACTTTTGAATCAGGAAATGCATACACATACCTGCTGTGGCTCCAGCTAGAAGGCAGGAGGTGCTAGAGCAGCCCTCCCTTCCCTTCCACAGTGCTGAGCTAGGGGTGTGGCCAGGCCCTGGCATGATGCTCTCATTAGGGAGGGGTATAAACCCCCACCCTCCCTGCACTATTCCAGGCTTTTCCCTACTTGTTGCTCAAGAGGCGGGAGTGTTGCCAGATCCTGCATCTATTGATAATACCGAGCTTTTCAATCTCCCTCTCCTGCTTCTTTATACTGTCTGCAAATCAGGTCATTTCTAACACCTTTCTCTGTCCCCTTTTGAAGACTGACAAATTTCAACCAGCAGGTTGCTTGTCAGAACAAAGTTTATCAGCCCATCAAACCCTACAAAAGAAAACATCTCTCACATTAGTTTCAAGCTCTTTTTATCTGCAGGATGCATTTGCATTTGCAAGCCACTAGCCGTCTGCCTTTATTCTAGTGAAATTGGAGACCCACACAGACACCTCTCAGAATTAGTTCGTATGGGGGTGGGGACATGGCCAGAAGCTGGGTCCCTGTTCTGGGGTCCCTGCCATGGAAGAGCAGTGGGAGGGGGGATCCCTTCTTGTGCAGCCATTGGTGGGGGGGGGGGGGG